GTGGGCTAGGAGGTGGGCTAGGAGGAGGGGGGGATGGTGAGGACGAGGGCGGACCGTCTCGCGCTGCGGGAGCGTCAGGCTGCTCTGGCCGGTGAGCATGGGATTGCCTTGGACCAGCGCACGAACGCGAGGGCTGGGCACGCCAGCCGGCGTGCGTGGCTGGCCGTCGGGGGCGTACCCAATCTGGAGGCTGCGAGAGAGGAGCCGGCGCCTCGCCCCGTCGGGCTGGGGCTGCGCGGCGAGCGTCACGAGCGCATCTAGCGACGCCCCTCCGGCCGCGCGCTCGAGCTGCCGCCGATCTCTCAGCGGAAGGCCGAGCGCGTGCAGTGTCGCGCGCGCGCCTGCTCACACGTGGAGGTGTGAAGAGACGCCGTTCACAGCTGCGAGTCGCCACGTGTCGCGCGCGCCGCCCGACGCGCCCGCAGGGAGAGCGTCGGCGCGGCAGTCGTCATGGAAGCCGCAGTTCCGGCACGACGGCGCCAGCCGCCACTCCTGCGACCTGTATCCCTGCTGCTTGCGCCGGCGGCTGAGGAGGGCTCGGAGGCCGCCGCCGCCCCTGAGGAAGGCGTCGACCTTGTCGCGCACCTCCCGGAGGAGGAAGGGCGCCGGCGCCGCCTCTCCGTACAGCCAGACACCGCCGTGCCGCGCGAGGCGCAGGTGGCGCCGCACGCCGGCGAGGCGCGGGTCGGTGGCAATGAGCGTCTCGAGCAGCAGAGCGTAGTATGCCACCTGCACCATGGCCCCTACCTTGACCTTGCCCGTCGCCTTGGCGTCGATGACAGTCAGCTCCGCCACGACCGCGCCGCCGCCGCCGGAGACGAAACGCAGCAGCAGGAAGTCGACGTACGAGTTGGAGAAGCTCACGTCGCAGTGGTCGAAGGGCGGCCCGGCCGGTGCCTTGAAGAGGGGCTGGAAGAGCATCCACGGCGGAGAGGGCGTGCCGTTGGCGGCGGCCGCGGCGGCGCCGGCGGCGTGCAGCAGCTCGACGGACAGCGCCTCGTGCTCGCGGCTGTACTTGAGCTTGTGCAGGGAGGCCGGCCCGCTGCTGCTGCCCGCCCCCCCTCCTCCTGCCCGCCCCCAGCGCTGCTTCGCCTCCTCCTGCAGGTCGCGCAGCACGCCGGCGCCTCCGCCGACGCCACCGCCGCCGCCACCGCCGCCGCCGCCGCCGCCGCCGCCGCCGCCGCCGCCGCCGCCAGCAGCAGCTTCTCCGCGGCGGAACCTGAGCAGAGGCGGCCGCACACCGTTCGTGGTGTCCTGCGCCGCGCCGGTCCAGTCGCTGGCCAGCCCGCTCGAGCAGAGCTGGTTGCAAATCTGCGCCTCGAAGAGGTCGCCGCGGGACGAGTGCGCCGTGGTGAGCGGCTTGTCGAGGTCCTCGATGTCGTCGGGCTTGTAGCCCCTGCCCTCCCGCTCGCAGAGGCGGTGCAGCATGCGGTCGCACTCGCCGGAGTTGAAGTAGGAGCCGAGCTTGCTCGCCGAGACAGCGAACGGCTTTCCCTCGGCCAACCACGGGGTGCCGCGGCTCGCGGCGAGGCAGTCCGTGACGTGCTGCAGCAGCGCCGATGGGCCGCTGGGTAGGCGCTCGCAGCACACGGGGCAAGTTGGCTTTGCGCCGGTTTCCTGCGCCAGGACGTCCTCCACGGCACGCCACTGCCAGTGCGCCGTAGGCAGCCCGTGGAAGAGGCGCAGCGGCGCAGCCTGCGTGCCGTCGTCGAGAGTGATGCCTCTGTCGGCGAGGAGCCGAAGGAGCGCGTCGGTGGTCGGCCCGTACTCGAGGCTTGCCGGCTCGCACGGCGATGTCATGCCGGCGCCCTACAGCCTGGCGCGAAAGGCGTTCTAGGCGCGCGGGCGCACGTTCTAGGGACGCCCAGCGTCCAGCGAGGGTTTCGGCCTCCTTTGATGGTAAGGTTGCGCCATCCCAATACCATAACACCCCAAACACCCCTCCCTCATAAGACATAACACCTCATAACACCTCATAGCACTCATAACACCTCCCACTGGTTTTAGATTAAAATGAACTCGGGGGCACGGGACGCGGCACAAACGGGGCACAATCGCACAAACGCCAGGCTACTCGAGTACAAAACGGGGAGGCACGTAGTGACGCAGGGGAGTCTAGGCGACGGTGGCGTCCTCCGACGCCGCGGCGAGCCTGAGCTCGGTCGCAATCTCTTCCGCCGCCGCGAGCTGCAGCGCGACTGACATGCGCTGGGCCTGCAGCGACAGCCACGACCGCGTCGACCAGCTCGCCTCGTCTTCGTGCTGCCGCTTCGAGAGCTTGTTGCGCACCTTGTCCTTCATCTGGTAGAACAGCCGCTTGACCGCGTTGCACCACCCGCCGAAGGTTTCGAACAGGTACATCTGTACGTCGGTGTCCGAGCGCGAGAGGGCGTGCGCGTAGTCCGCCTTCTTGTACGCCACATAGCCGCCGCCGTCGCTCGGCCTGAAGTCGCCGTCCCCGACAGCGCCGCGCTGCTCGAGGCCGAAGACGTCCGCGCTCGTGCCGGGCTCGGTGTTGCCGAGGCCGACGAAAGCGCCTCGCTGGCCGACGTCCTCCGGGTTGGAGGAGAGAGGGTCCTTGGACGTCGCCGACGAGGCGTGAGCGCGAGCGGCCAGCGCCCGCCACCGAGACGTCGGGCCGGTAGTCGTTAGAGTAGCCGAGGTGTGGTCCCGCGGCTCCACCTCGACGAGCATGCCCCACACGCTCCGCATGACCTTGGCCAGGGCGGCGAGGAGGCTGTCATGGCGGCCGCAGTGCCCGAGGCGGCCGATGTTGTTATGACAGCCAGCATAACAACCTCATAAAACCGTACGTAGGTTGTTGGGAAAACAACAGCTGTTCGGCCAAAACCTGAATTTCAAGGATTTCTTGGATTTGGAGCCCCCTTCGCCATTGGTACAGGTACACAGGCACACAGCAAAACGAGGCCCAGCGTGCAGTCGCGAGTCGCCTCCATGCCTGCTGCGCTCCCGCGACGCCCGCACTGCGCCCGCAGCGAGCCCGCGCCCAACGTGCTCTGCACCGTCTTCACCTGCGCCATCGCGGCGATTGCGAGCGGCGGGTTCGCCTTCTCGCTCGGGTCTGACAGCTTCCTTCTCCCTTTCGTTGTGCCCGGTGCGACGGCGCTCACGACTGTGCGCGGGCCCGAATGGTCCCCCAAGAGCAGCAATAACACAGGGAAACACGCGACGGCCACGTGGCACAACGCCGTGCTCGGCGGAACAAAGCAGGTCGAGGGGGGCGAGCTCATGCATCACAGGTTTCCCCGGCACTTTGCCAGCGCCTTGCTGGTGACCTCAGCCGCGGTGGGACGGGTCCTCGATGTCGCCCTGCGCTCTAGCGCCGTTGGCGAGGCGAGCTTGTGGTTCACCGGGCCGCGACTGTCGCTCGACGTGCTCAAACTCTTCATCCTTGTGCTCGGACTCAGCGACGTTTGGGCAGCCCCTCGGCCAGAGGCATTCGTGCTGATGCTGCCGGAATACTTTGAGGTGCTCACACACACACACACACACACACACACACACACACACACACACACACACACACACACACACACACACACACACACACACACACACACACACACACACACGCGCGCGCACGCACGCACGCACGCAGCACGAGCACTCGCACGCGCACGCGCACGCGCCCTGTCGTCTAGACGTGGAATCGCGAGGGTCGTCCCCGCCGCCCCTTGCCCCACCTTTCCTTACCTTACCTTAGGTGCTCCGCCGCAAGTGCAAGCCAATCAAGATGCAAACCAGCTGTCAAAAAATGGCGTGGCGTCTCTTTAAGCACGAATCGAACTCGACTAATGCCACAAACTGTACCTCCCGCCAGCTTGCGAAGGACATTCGCGCTGTCAAGAAGGGTCGGACATGTCTGATAAAAAGGTCTGATGACGCAGCAAGCTACAAAGATGCTACACACACGCTGTGGCTAAGCTGGCTCGCACCTTCGATGAGCGATGTGCAACTGGGCGCGCGCAAGTTGGAGGAGATACTGGCTGGTGTGCGCTGGGCAGTGCTGCTCTCGTGGGCATTGTTCCTGGTGCTGCCGGCAGCCCCACGTCAGAATGCAGCGGCGATCCGCCGCCTCTCCACCCTCTCCTTTGTGGTCGGAATGGCATTGTACTTCTACATGCTGGTCGGGCTTTACTGGCAGAAACCGTGCCACCACATGCAGCCGCTCATCCTGTTCATCCCGGCTGCGGCGTGCATGATCCCAGCCATTCATGGCGGCTGGCCACTTCGTGGCGAAGCAGCAAGCTGGCTCGGACAGTACTTGCTTTTCGGCATCATGGCTCCGCTGTACCTCACAGCGGGCCTATGCAAAATCAGGTACCACGGCGTGACACAGGTCTTCCTTTCCTCTGGCTGGATCGACTTTGCCTTGGGGTCCTATGCCGCTTCTGATCAGCTTGGCAAGGGAAAGTGGTATATTCCTCAGCTTTCCCGGTGGATGCTTGACATCGATCGCCTCGTACCCCTGTTTTCGTGGGGTGGGATGCTCTTTGAAGTGGCCATGCCTGCTGCGGTCATTGTGCTATCGCCCACGTCACGTTGGCACAGGCCTGTCCGGCAGCTCTTTGCTGCTAGTGCCATCGGCTTTCACGTGTCCATGTTCTTTGTCTGCGGCGCGAACTTTTGGTACAATGGTGTCCTGGCAGCTGTGCTGCTGGCCGCCGACTTGATGGACGCGAGCCCAGCGCCCGAACTTGCGCACAGCGGCAGCAGCAACTCGGCCGTCAAGATGTGCATGTCTGCTTTCACGAGCGCGATGCTCTTCGGGTGGCTCCTCACATGCATCGATGCGGACATGGGCTTTGCACTTTCTAAAGGGGCTGGGTGGGGCGAGCCGAGGCACAAGGGTGTTGACCGGCTGCTTCCGTTCTCGCTGCACGCCATGTACACCAAGGGGATGAAGCGCGGCGCGGCACGACCAGGGGCTGCCTCCTCCATGACGATCGCAGCTCTCGTCGCAGCCGGCTACGTTTGGAACCGCAGGCGCACGTAAGGCGGCGGTTGAGCGAGGGCTGCAGCGGCACATGCTCACAGCCTGTCGGCGGCACGATAGGGATCTTCACATCTTCTGCCGCCCTCGAGATCGGGAGCGGTGTGTGAATCGTTGCGGTATGGGGAAGGGGGGTGGGGAGGCGTGCGAGTGTATTCCCTTCCTGGCCGCGGTCGGGAGTGAGCGACATAGCTTGTGCTCCGGGCCCCGCGTTGCGCATGGCATTCAAGGCGAAGTCCTCCACTGGAGGAGATTAGCGTGTCGTGTTCTTCATTAAGTAAAGCTAGAGCCTTTCACGTGGTGGGTGCACAGTGTAAAAATAAAAAAGCTGCCGCCGCCGGTCCGCGGCTCGCCATGTATGCGTGAACTCGCGCCCTGGCTCGTCCATCATCGAGAGGTCTGCCCCTCGCTGGGTGTCACTCTACGGCTCTATCCAAGGCGTGTGTTTTGTACGGGTTGTGCGAAAAGAAAACGCAGGTATGGCGCGTGGGACTGGGGGGAGTCGGAGAGGGCCGTGCAGGATCCGTTAGCGGGAGATCGGCGCACGGCGGGAGCTGCGGACGTTTCGAATTCGGCGGGTGCCGCAGACGTTTCGAATTTGTCGACGGACCGTTTCAGGCAGGGAATAAAATCTGAGCCCTGGCTGTCAGGCTGTCAGGTGTCTGTCCCCCCACGACCCCGCCAGTGCGGGACAGTACAGTTCCCGTAGCGCGGCGGTCCCGCGCCTCGAGCTCGGGTCACGCCCGAGCAGCGCTGCGTCTCTCCGCCCCTCACACCTCAAAATGCGCCACCGCCCACCCTACGTTCGGCTGTGTGAGCAGCTCCCGGCGGGACTTCGAGGGACCGCACGCGCGCCCGCGCGGCGCGGGGCCCAACCCACAGCCACGATCGTTCACAAGAGAACGCACCCCCCAGAGTACGAGAGACCCTTCCCCATGGCTGCCACTGCGCCAGCTGTCCTTGCGCGCGGGCTAGGCCGCCTCCCGCGCCCTGGCCCTCGCAGCGGCACCTGACGCGCGCCTCGCCTTGGCTGCGGCGAGCGCCGCCTCTGCCGCCGCGACTGCCGCCTCCTCCGCCTCCTCCTCCGCTGCGGCAGCCTCCTCCTCCTCTGCCGCTGCCACGGCCGCAGCCTCCGCCGCAGCCTGCCGGCGCGCCTCCGCTGCCGCCTCCGCTGCCGCCTCCTCGCCCTCCCCCTCGCCCTCCTCCTCCTCACCCTCCTCCTCGGCCGCCTCCGCCGTCTCCTCGTCGCCCTCCTCCTCGCTCGCCTCGCCCGCCGCCTCTCCCAGCGCCTCCGCCAATCCCTCGACCGACGTCTCCGGCGTGATGCCGAACCGGATCCTGTCAAGCTTGAGCAGCCCCTCCCTGTCCAACGGCGCGGGCTTGGCTGCGGCTGCCTCTGCCGGCGCCTCGGCCTCCTGCGACGGCCCAGCCCCGCCCGCCCCGCCGCCCTTCTTCTTCTTCTTCTTGCCCTTCTTGCCCTTGGCGCGCTTCTCCGCCTCGACCTCCGCCAGCAGCTCCTCGGCGTGCCGCGCCGCCTCCTTCTCTTCCGCCGCCCTCTGCGCCTCCCTCTCCGCCGCGCCCGCAGCCCACGCCGCCTCTTTCGCCGCCTTCTCGGCCGCCGCCTTGGCCGCCGCACGCTCCTCGAGGGCGCGCGCGCACTCGGCGTGGCCCTTCGCCTTGGCCAAATGCAGCGCCGTCCTGCCCGTCGCAGTGCGCAGCGTCATGTCTGCGCCCGCCCGCAGCAAGCGAAGCACCATGGCAGGGCGGCCGTGGTAGGCGGCGAGCATCAGTGCGGTGTTGCCGTTGTTGGTCTGCAGGTTGATCTCCGCGCCGTGCAGCAATGCCAGCTCGACCATCTTCGCGGCTGTTCGCGGCGGCGAGGCTCAGCGCGGTGCCACCGTCGCTTTTCTGCAACGAGACATCTGCACCGCGCCGCAGAAGCGCCTCGGCCAGCTCCGCGTGGCCATCGACCATTGCGAGCATCAGCAGCGTCACGCCGCTCACACAGGAGCCGCAACCAAAGACGTACACGAACGTCGCGTCGACCCGCCCGCCGCCGTCGAGCCACGCCAACACCGGCGCCTCTTCGCCTCGCCCAGCCGCTTCCACGACCTCCTTTGGCACTGCCTCGCTGCCCGGCGCGGTCTCTGCGCCGCCCTCGCCGCTCGAAGCAGAGGCCGCAGCACTGGCGCGCGCCGCCGCCTCGCCTGCCACCGCGCCTGCGGGTGCGCCACCCGCCTCGGCCGCCGCCGCCTCGCGCCGGCCCGCCGCCACTTCCCCGAGATACGTCCTGAAGGCCTCGACGCACTCGGCGTGGCCATCTTCTTTGGCGATCTGCAGCGCCGTCCTGCCCGTCGCAGTGCGCAGCGTCATGTCTGCGCCCGCCCGCAGCAAGCGGAGCACCACGGCGGGATGGCCGTAGAAAGCGGCCAGCAGCAGCGCGGTGCCGCCGAAATTGTACTGCAGGTTGATCCCTGCGCCGTGCAACAGCAGCATCTCGGCCACGCGCTCGTGGCCTTTGGCGGCGGCGGCCATCAGCGCCGTACAGCCTTCGCCGTCTCGCGCGTCCGCCTCCGCGCCACGCTTCAGCAGCACTTCAACGAGCTGCTTGTGACCGTGTTCGGCGGCGATCAGCAGGAGCGTACAGCCGCTCACACCGCGATGCACGCACGTCGCGTCAACCCGCCCATCCCCGGTGAGCCACGTCTGCACCACGCCGACCTTGCCGTTCTCCGCCGCCGCCTCGATCCTGTTCGGCAGCGAGAGCGGCGCAGCAGTAGCCGCCGTTGAAGCGTGCCCGCGCCGGGAGCCGGCCGAGCCAGCCTTCGTCCGGCCGGGCATGCAAACGGGCGGGGTTGCGGGTGCTGAGCGCCTCCTCACTCTAGGCCCAGTGGGCGCGGTATTGGGATCTGGCCGTACCGCGTGCCGCTTCACACCGAGCGCGCCGTACCGATACCGCTAGGCTCTCCGGCGCCCCGTACCGCTACCCTGTAGCGAGAAAACAGTTCGCCGTACCGTCAGTCGCGACGGGAGGCGTTGTCGCCCCGAGATCCGCCTCGCAAAGTGCATGCGGCGGCGCGTGTGGCATCAGCGTCGCCGAGAGCGCCGTGGAGGCCGTGAGCGAACGAGATGGGAATCGCCGAGTATTGTCACTCGCTTTTTATCGTGCCTCTTTCTCTTTTACCTTCTTCCAGCTTCCCTCCGTTTTAACTTGCATGCGTCGCGTGGCGGACACAGTGCTCCTCTGGCAGGAAATGACCACCCCTGCCCTGACTGCGCTCGTCCTCACCGCCTTTGGCGCCCTCTGCGTATGGTTCCTCCTCTTCTCACTGCCCGTGGTCGTTGAAGACCTGCTGCGCTGGGAGAGCCGCCACGGCCGCATCCAGCACTCGAGGCTCTGGAAGATGGTCATGTTCCCGCTGCACACGACGCTTCAGATGACGGTCGTGATGCAGCTCATCAAGCCGCTCGGCTGCACCTACGCAGCAGGCGCACCCTCCCTCCTCTATGCTGACCGGACCATCGTCTGCTGGGACCTGGCAGAGCCTCTCCAGCCATACATGGCGCTCTGCGCGTGGCTAGGCCTCGCCTTCTACCTTCTGACCGCGCACCTCCTCTGGTGGGGCGATGGCGGGCTGCTCCGACAAGCACAGCTCAGCCCCACGCTTGACGTGCAATACTCCGAGCTCTACCTAATCGTTGGCAACGCCGTGCGAACCGCCGCCGCCATCGCCTACCTCTTCCTTCACGACCAGCCGATCGCGCTGCAGCTGGTGCTCTGTGGCCTCGCCCTCTTCCTTCTCGCCTGGACCCTCGGCTTCCGCCGCCTCTTCCGTGCACCCGCATGCGCCATTCGGGCCGTCACCGAGCTTCGCGCCGTTGGCGAGGCCATCGCGGCGTGGGCCGCGCTCAGCTGTGCCCTCGAGCTCCTTCTGTCGCAGCCAGCGCGCGTCGTGCGTCTTGGCTCGCAGCTGGCCATGTCCCTGCCAGAGCTCGTCTGCCTCGCTGGATGGATCGCCATCGCCCTCGTTGGGATCCTCGCCGTCGGATGCCGCAAGCTGTGCGCGGCGCGCGCGGCGCGCGCGCGCCAAACGGACCTGTCCGCCCTGCGCGAATGTGCGCGGCTCTTGGTGGAGGTGGAGGCGTACTGGCAAGGGCAGGGCGGCGTGATGGGTGCATCGTGGGTCGGCCGAGCGGCGCGGTGGCGACGTTCGGCCGCGCATGCGCCGGACGTCGCGTCGCTCTGCCGGGCGGTGGTGGAGGTCGAGCAGCACGTGCGATCTGGCGTGCAGCTCCAGAGCTTCATGACAGGCCGCCGCGCCGCGTGGCAGCGTGAGATGGCCGATGGAGTGGCCGCGGTCGGTCGGCTCAGGGGTTGAGAAAGACATCTCATTCCTCATACGTCGATATCTGCAAACAAGAAAAAATCGCTACACCCTATACTAGACCGGACGCGGAACCATCCACATCATCACTAGCTCGCGGCAGTAAGGACACTCTTGCATCAGCTCAGAGCATGGCCCGCACGCACACAAGTGCCCGCACGGAACCGCAGCATGCGACTTGCCTCTCGCGAAACACACGATACAAGTGGTCTCGCCCCCCATCGTGGACTCGGGGGCAGCTGGCCGCCCCGTGTCGAGGCCGGCGTCCGCTAGTGAGACGGCAGCAGACGGCTCGGCGACTGGCAGATGATGCTCCGCCGCCTCTCCCGCCTCTGGCTCGATCAAGCGCTCGATGGCGCCGACCCGCTCCTCGAGGCTACCCTCGGTCGCCGTGCCGAGGCTCGCCTCCAGCCGCTCGACACGCCGCGGCAAGTCCCCGCCGCCGCCGGTCGACTCGCTGCTCACCGCCTCCTCGCACCGCGACACCCGACGCGCCAGAGCCTCCTCCTCCGCATCTATCTCTGACCGGCGCAGCGCCTCTGCTAGCTCCGCATCCTCGCGCAGCGCCGCCCGCTCTGCCGCACCCGCTAGCTCTGCCGCCTCCCGCTCCGCCCGCCTCGCCGACTCCTGCTCCGCAGCCAGCTGCGCCGCCCTCTCCTCCTGTGTGCGAAGCTCTGCCGCAGCCCGCGCCCTCCGCTCCTCCTCGAGCTTGAAGGCGGACTTGGCTTTCTTGGCCTCCTTGTTCTTCGCCTTGCCCTCCTTCCTTGCCGCCGTTGCCTCCGCCGCCTTTGCGCGCCACCTCGCCTTCTCCTCCTCCGCCCTCTTGTCCGCAGCCTCCTTGTCGCGCCGCGCCGCCTCTGCCTGAGCGGCCTTGCGCTCCGCCGCAGCCGCCCGCTGCTCCTCTCGCTGCGCCTCCTCCGCCGCAAGCCTCTCCGCCTCCCTCGCCCGCAGCGTCTCCTCTGCTGCAGCGCGCTCAGCGGCCAGCTTCGCCGTCGCCTCCGCCGCAATGGCTCGCCTCTGCTCCTCCAGCGCCGCCGCATCCGCTGCCCGGCGCGCCTCGTCCGCCGCTCGCTCTGCCTCCCGCCTGCTTGCCGCCTGCTCGCGCTCTCGCGCCGCCGCCACCTCCTCCCGCTCGCGCTGCTCGCGCCGCCCCTTGGCCTCGAGCGCCTTCTCTGCAGCCTTCTCTGTCGCCTCGGCCTCCCTCAGCGCCGCTGCGTGCTCTGTGAGAGCGCGCACGCACCCGGCGTGGTCCGTTTCACTGGAGGCGTCGGCAGTAGATAGCACCTTGGCCGCCTCTTCCTTGGCCATCTGCAGCGCGCACCTGCCGTCTGCAGAGCGAGTCTTCGTGTCTGCGCCCAACTGCAGTAGACAGCGCACGACGGGGAAACGGCCGGATATGGCGGCGAACATCAGCGCGGTCCAGCCGCCGATGTTCTGCAGGTTGATCTCCGCGCCGCGCTGTAGCAGCAACTCGACCACCCGCTCGTGGCCTTGGGTGGCGGCGAACATCAGCGCGGTGCCGCCGACGCTGTTCTGCATGTCGACCTGCGCGCCGCGCCAAAGCAGCACCTCGACCACCCGCTCGTGGCCTTTGATGGCGGCAACCATCAGCGCGGTGACGCCATTGCTGTCCTGCAGGTCGACCTCAGCTCCATGCCGAATCAGCAGCTCGACCACCCGCTCGTGGCCGATGTTGGTGGCGCACATCAGCGCGGAGCTGCATGGCACAACCTTCTTACTCGTGACGCCGACGCTGCTCTGCATGTCGACCTCTGCGCCGTGCTGAATCAGCAATTCGACCACTCGCTCGTGGCCTTTGCCGGCAGCGTGCATCAGCGCGGTGATGCCTGTGCTGTTCTGCAGTTTAAGCTCTGCGCCGTGCTGCAGCAGCAGCTCGACCACTCGCTCGTGGCCGTTGGTGGCAGCGAGCATCAGCACGGTGTCGCCGTCGTTGTCCTGCGCGTTGATCTCCGCGCCGCGCTGCAGCAGCAGCTCGACCACCCGCTCGTGGCCTTCCTGGGCGGCGATCATCAGCGCGGTGCCGTCATCACTCCTCTGCAGGTTGATCTCAGCGCCGTGCTGCAACAGCAAATCGGCCACCTGCTCGTGGCCTTGGGTGGCGGCGAACATCAGCGCGGTGCTGCCGTCGCTGTCCTGCAGGTTGATCTCCGCGCCGTGCTGCATCAGCAGCTCGACCACCCGCTCGCGGCCGTAGTGGGCGGCGTTCATCAGCGCGGTGACGCCTTTGCTGTTCGGCATGTCGACCCGCGCGCCGCGCTGAAGCAGCAGCTCGACCACCCGCTCCTGGCCGTTGCCGGCGGCGCCCGTCAGCAGCGTGACGCCAATTGCCTTGCCTTTATTGTCCGTCGCGTCGGCCCGCCCGCCGCCGTCGAGCCACTCCAGCACTGCCTCCTCATCGCCTCGATTAGCCGCTGCCATGACCGCTTTGGGGACTGGCACGTCACCCCTCAACACCATCGCTGGGTTCTGGCTCTTTGAGGGTAGGGGCACGCATTATCGCCCGTCTAGCGTCCACCCATACCGCGTTGGTGTCCCAGTCGTTGGTCGGACTGTGTTTCGCCTTCCCATCAATCAATCAAGCGCGCCGGTGTCCAATCCCCAAGCCTGACTGTTCTTCACCTCGTAACATACAAACGAATAATCAGCAATTTTAACGATAACGTACAGTAGGCAGTACTCCGACTCTCCGAGAGACATGCTCACCCTCCCCTCTCTCTCTCTCTCTCATGTCACTCAGTCGGTCGGGTGCGACGAACACCGCTTGCCCGCGGCGTTGCGGCCTCAGACGGCCCCCCGCCGCTCAGCCGAGTCGACGACCCAGAGGCAAAGACGGCCGAGTCGACTCGCCGCCGCCGCCTTCTCCTCGTTGACGAGGATGGAAGAGGCCGGCTCAGACGGCTGAGCCAGAGGAGGGGACGCTGACGTCATTATCGTGCTCCGCAGCCGCACCTGTCTGCCGTGCTCGTGCGGTGGTTGCGCCGAGCCCCCGGCGGAGGTTGGCTCCGCGCGGGTCGGCGTACTGACCCCATACGCCCTGATATCTATTACCCGGCTTCGCCGACTGCCCCGCAACCCCCCGCTTCAAAATACACACAGTGCACTCTTTGGTGAGATTGTGTATTCCGCACCGCACCACTTTTCAGTCGTTCTTGACACGGCCATCGCAGAGCAGATTGTGTGAGCTTGCCTGCGGCGAGGGCGGTCGAGTGCACGGAGCTAAGTGCCTCGCCGTCCTCGCGGGAGTCGCTTAGGCGGCTCCCGTGGTGTGTACCTGCGTTAGTGCCAGTGCGCGCCAGTCCTGTGCCTAGTGTCGTGCGAGGGAGTGTGAATCGTGCTTTTTTGAGAGAGGCTTGTATTTTAAGAATTCTTTTTTTTAGCCTCCCCTCACGCTCGACGGCCGGCTCTCGCCGCGTGAGATTACCTCTTGCCCTCTCGCTGATTTCCGGAGGGATGCTCAACCGCTCCACGCCACGCCGCTTGCGCGGCGGTCCTATTCCCAGCTCCGCTGCGGGCCCTTGGAGCACTTGGAGTGCAGTCATCAACCTCACATCCAGGGCCGGGGAGCTGAGGAGCGCACCCAGCGGGCCGGATGATCGGTATCGGGTTACGGGCTAGAGAGCCCTAGCCCCGGGGGTGCGCGTTCGCAGGGAAAGGGCCGTAAAGTAAACACGGGTCTCCGAGGGTTAGTCTCCCCTTAACTGCAGAACGCCCCCTCTACTCGGAGCTAACGGACACACAACACTGTACTCCACGTACGTACACGGATACGCCTCATGTGCGCCCGCCCGACTCCGGTCCCAGAGTCCCTTCCTTCGCCTGTCGGGGCGAGCCCTCGGCTCGTCCCGGTCCCTTGCTCGCCTTCCGGGCGTTACCAGACTGCCTCTGCAGTCGTTTCTGATGCCTCTTCCTCGGCTGTGCATTATTTTCAATACCTTGATGAGGTGACTTGGACCACTAAGAATTGGCTGGGGCTGCAGAAGCAGCGTATCTCGGTCGTTCTTCACACGGCAATCGCAGAGCAGATTGTGAATGAGCTTGCCTGTGGCGGGGGCGGGCGGGCGGGTGCACGGAGCTAAGTGCCTCGCCGCCCTCGCGGGAGTCGCTTAGGCGGCTCCCGTGGTGTACCTGTGTTAGTGCCAGTGCGCGCCAGTCCCGTGCCCAGTGTCGTGCGAGGTAGTTGCTTCTTTTGCAGTGCCAGTCCCGTACCCGGTGTCGTGCGAGGTAGTTTTGTTGTAAAATTCTTTTGAAATTCTTTCGCACGGCTGGAAGGGGGCATATGTACGTTTCGGCAACACGGAGACCGGGCTGCTCAAGTTGGTCAAAGGGCGCGGCAAGTGGTCTCCGTCGGGAGCGACGGCAGCGGCGGTGGCGGGGGAGGAGGAGGAGGCCGAGGAGGAGGGGGAGGAGGGGGAGGAGGAGGATGCCCCCACGAGGCCGCTCCAGCTGCCTGGCGATAACCGTTTTGCGCGGGAGCAGGATTGCGATCTACGTTTGTTTGATTTTGAGGCTTTCGGAGGCTTTGGAAAGGAGGTCCGCAGCACCCTGAGGGAGGCGGCGAACCAGCTGAGCAACAAACTTTCGCACGCTCAGCACCTGGACGAGGTCACATGGACCACCAAGAACTGGCACGGGCTGCAGATGCAGCGCTTGTCTGTCGTCCTCCACACCGCCGTGGCGTGGCAGACGGTGAACGAGCTAGCGTGCGGGGAGAGCGGCATTGTGCACGGTGCGGAATGCATTGCCGTTCTTAACGGAGTCGCTTAGGCGGCTCCGGTGGTGAGCCGGTGTGTGTGCCAGTCCGCGCCAGTCCGCGCCCTTGTCGTGCCAGTGTGCTGTGAGACAGGCTTGTGTTTGAAGTGTGAGTGAGTATTCTTGATACTCGAGTACGAAACCACGACGACACACACCAGTCGACTCGCATCGGTTGCCTCCATGAACGGCGGAGCTATTCTCGCGTCCACACCACACCTGGCTCCAACGTGGACACGCCCATAGCTGGGGACACTACTAGGTCACGCATGGCATCAGAAGTTTGGCGTTGAAGAATACTTTCGCACGGCGCCCCGTGCTGAGAGCGAACACACCCCTCCGGTCTCTGGACTCGCTGGACTCGCAAAGAATTCTTAACACCAGCGGCGACACGTCCTCGAGCCGCCGCATCAAGTAGAGGACGTCGAGCACGCGCCCGGTCGAGGCGGCCGGCGCGACGGCGCGTGCCCTGGGGGGCTTCCCGGTGGTGAGACGGGCTCCCTTCGGGCTAGCGCCCGCAGGGCGTCGCTCGGCGCCGTCGCGTCAGCCGTGTCGGAGTCGTACGGGCTGGCCGATGGAGCAGGGTCCACGGCGGGGGCGACGGCAGCGCGCGGCAGTCTCCTCCAGCGTGTGCGCGCCGCCTGAGTTTGAGCGGTGCGGGCCAGCCGGTTGCGCAGCGTCGCTAGGAGAGCTAGCGTCAGCATCGCCAGCATCGCCCATCTCCAGCCCGTCAGGGGGGGCGGTGGCGGAGGTGGATCCTTGCCGTCGTCGGCCGCCCCCGCCGTCACGCCCTGCGCTGGTCAGCAAATTCTTTCGCACGCTGTGAGAGAGGGCCCTCCAAGAATTCTTTCGCACGGCGCCCCGTGCTGAGAGCGAACACACCCCTCCGGTCTCTGGCTCGCTGGACTCGCAGATGTCGACTATCAGCGGGCCATCCGACGCCGCGAGCGACGGGGTGGCGCAAGAGGCCGCGGGCGCTGGTCCGGTGCCAGGTCCGCAGGCGCCGCAGGGCACGGCGGCGCAGGCTGACGGCTCGCGGGTGCGGCCGCAGCGTCACGCCTCGATCGAGCGCTTCGTGGCCGGCCCCGCCCCGCCCCCTTCCGTGGCGGCGGAGGCGGCCCGCGCCGCCGCCGCGATGAGCGACTGGACGGGCGGCGGCTCGCTACCCTATCGCCTTGTCCGCATCGAGGAGGCGCTGCCGTTCGAGGACGTCGAGGCCTGCTGGAAAGGGCGGCGGGACGAGTGGCGGGACGAGGTCGTGGGCGCGGCCGGGTCTGCCGTCGACCTCGCCGGCTTGCTCGCGGAGCTCCTGTGCTCCCTGACGGCGGCGGCGGTGTCCTACCTCTGGCGGTCTCGCGGCCAGTATGACAAGCTCTACGGCGAGCTCTACGACCTCGCGTCGGGGCGCAGGTCCGACCCAGTTGCAGCGACACTCCGCCGGCTCGTCGCGGCAGTCGAGACGGCGGCGCTGCCTCCCGCCGACGCGCGCGAGAGGCAGCTCAAGGTGGTGCAGCTGCCGCCCGCGGAGGCGGCCGAGGGGGCGGCCGTGCAGGTTTACTTTTCGGACGAGGAGCGGTGGTACCGCGGCACGGTCACGGCCGTGAATGGGAACAAGACGTTCACGGTGCTGTTTGAGGACGGCGACGAGGACGCGTCGGTGCCGCTCTGCGACCTCTACCAGGAGCTGCTGGAGGACGGCAAGCCTCTGGAGCTGGGCCTCGGCGCGACTCTCTCTCTCTCTCTCTCTCTCTCTCTCTCTCTCTCTCTCTCTCTCTCTCTCTCTCTCTCTCTCTCCCCCCCCCCCCCCTCTCTCTCTCTCTCTCTCTCTCTCTCTCTCTCTCTCTCCCTCCCTCTCCCTCCCTCCCCGGTCGGAACCTTCTCGGAACTGTCCCGGCAGGCGACCCGGGGCCAGACCTGGCCGAGGGCGACCGCGCCACCGCCCTGCACCTCCGTCGAGCGTGGTGCGCAGCTGAGAGGGAGGGTGTAGAGGGTGTAGAGGGTGTAGAGTGTGTAGAGCGCTGTAGAGCTGTAGAGCTGTGGAGCGCTGGAGAGCGCTGTAGAGAGCTGGAGAGCTGTAGAGCTCTCCATCCGGCGCGGGACGGAAGGCGCCTGGGCGTTGTAGAGAGCGATGTAGATCGAGGGGTCCCGTGCCATGCGGAATCGACCCTATCCAGTGCTCTCAAGTGCTCAAGCGATGCCGAGCGCGAATTCTCACCGTGAAATCACACCCTCCGCCGCAGGTGCGCGGCGCGGGTGGCCGCGGTGCGCGCCGGCCCGCTCGAAGGCACCACCGAGCTCCTCATCAAGTACGAGGGCTGGGCCGCTAAGTGGGACGAGTGGGTGCAGCGCGACTCGGGCCGGCTTCGGCTGTACCGGCCCGACGAGCTCACGCTGTCCTCGCTCCCCGACGAGGTGCACGCACACACACACACACACACACACACACACACACACACACACACACACACACACACACACTCGCACACACACACACACACACACGCACACACACTCGCACACACACACTCGCGCACACACACACACACACACACACACACACACACACACACACACACACACACACACACACACACTCGCACACACACGCTCCACCCACGCGCACCGGGCCTTGCACTTTGAATGCCGTGGGGCTCCTGTCTGTCCAGACGTGGTGTCGCGAGGCTGGGTCGCCCTGGCCCTCGCCCCCCACCTCACCTTCTGACTGTATGCTGCGAATTGCGTCTCGGCCGCCTAGCGGCGCCCCCTGAGCGTAGCGAGGGGCTGTGAGGGTACCCAGCACCTGCTAGTGGTGTATTCGGACCGGCCCGAGCCCAAAAAGCCGACCACCACCTCGTGTGTGTGGAGACGTGCACCTGTGGCCGTACCTTCACTATCAAACTATTAGCCTAATAACGTACCTAATTATCAACACATATTAGGCTAATAGTTTGATAGTGTTGTACCTCAGGTGCTCCTCCTCCTCCTCTCGCAGCTGGCCTGCAGCCTCTCCCTGCGGCGCGCGTCGGCCGTCTGCCGCTCGTGGCGCGCGAGGCTGCGTCGCGGCCAGCGCGACGCGGACCGGCTCTTTGAGAGCGCGTGGCTCAACTTGCCCGTCGTCGACCCGCTCGACGGGCGCGTCTGCCTCGGCGTCGCGGCCGCCCTCTCCCGCGCTCCGGCCGGCGAGCGGTTGCGGCTGAGCGCCGGCGCCGAGCTGCGGGGCGCCGCGACGCGTCGCGGACATGTCCGCGACACGCCCGCGCGTACGTCGCGCCGCTGTAGGCACCAAGCTGCGTCCCCACGACTCTCAGCTCGTATGCGCGAGGGCGGTGCATCTCGTCGCCGACGCGGGCGCGGCTCTGTGCGACGGCACCCTGCACCTGCACGGCGGCGAGGGCGGGCTCGTCGAGGGGCTGGCCATCTCGCACGATCTCCCCCGTATCTCCCCAGATCTCCCCCTAGGCGAGGGCGGGCTCGTCGAGGGGCTGGCCATCTCGCACGATCTCCCCCGTATCTCCCCAGATCTCCCCCTAGGCGAGGGCGGGCTCGTCGAGGGGCTGGCCATCTCGCACGATCTCCCCCGTATCTCCCCAGATCTCCCCCTAGGCGAGGGCGGGCTCGTCGAGGGGCTGGCCATCTCGCACGATCTCCCCCGTATCTCCCCAGATCTCCCCCTAGGCGAGGGCGGGCTCGTCGAGGGGCTGGCCATCTCGCACGATCTCCCCCGTATCTCCCCAGATCTCCCCCTAGGCGAGGGCGGGCTCGTCGAGGGGCTGGCCATCTCGCACGATCTCCCCCGTATCTCCCCAGATCTCCCCCTAGGCGAGGGCGGGCTCGTCGAGGGGCTGGCCATCTCGCACGATCTCCCCCGTATCTCCCCAGATCTCCCCCTAGGCGAGGGCGGGCTCGTCGAGGGGCTGGCCATCTCGCACGATCTCCCCCGTATCTCCCCAGATCTCCCCCTAGGCGAGGGCGGGCTCGTCGAGGGGCTGGCCATCTCGCACGATCTCCCCCGTATCTCCCCAGATCTCCCCCTAGGCGAGGGCGGGCTCGTCGAGGGGCTGGCCATCTCGCACGATCTCCCCCGTATCTCCCCAGATCTCCCCCTAGGCGAGGGCGGGCTCGTCTAGGGGCTCGCCATCTCGCACGATCTCCCCCGTATCTCCCCAGATCTCCCCCTAGGCGAGGGCGGGCTCGTCGAGGGGCTGGCCATCTCGCACTTCCGTGACGAGGCAGTCGTCGTGCACACTGGCACGTGGACGCTGCGAGGCTGCAGCATCGCCTCCTCGCGCAAGTCCCGCGCCGTGACCGCGGTCACCGTGCGCCCCGGCGCGGCGCTGCGGCTCGAGTCGTGCTCGGTGCGAAACGCCCTGTCCGCCGCGATGCTGCACGACGGCGCGGAGCTGCGCGCCGTCGAGTGCGTCTTCGACAACACGCGCACCGGCGTGATAAGCCGCGGCGGCCACTTGGAGCTCGAGCGCTGCCGCGTGGAGGCGCCGTGCGACGTGGTTCTCAAGCTGAACCCGAGGACCACCGGCCACGCGACGGCCAACCGGGTGAAGTGCTCTCTCTTCGGCGGCTGGCAGAGGCCGGTTGGCTTCCGGCGCCACTCCAACGTCGGCCTGCCGGCAGCAGAGGAGGCGGCTGAGGCGGAGGAGGGGGCAGAGGCGGAGATGGCAGCCGAGGCGGCGGCGGCGGCAGCGGCGGCGGCGGAGGCGGCGGCGGCGGAGGCCGCGGCGGCGGCGGAGGCAGAGGCGGAGGCGGAGGCGCAAGCGGCGACTGCGGCGGCGCAGGCGGCCTCCGCTGCGGCGGCGGAGGCGCCTCTCCCCTCCTCCGCCTCCTCCTCCTCCTCCTCCGCCACCCCCCCCTCCTCCTCCTC